GGCCACTGGTGGGAGCTCCCCACTTGCTGCCACCATGCCACCACTGCCGCCACCTGTTGCCATGCCCCCCCAGCCTCTGGGGGCATGCATTGTTCATGCTTGGGGTTACTCTGTCTGAAGGCACCCCCAGTAAGCCTGCTCCCTCCACCTCTGCCTGTGCCCTCTAGGCTGCATCAGTGCCTTTATAAGGGGCTCTGCTTTCATTTGCCTGTAGTCAAAGACAACACCAGCTCCACAAACAGGTGGCACTGGGCCATACAAGCTGGCTCCTGCCATGTGTGAGCTCCCTTTCCAATCTGTAGTATTAAACACACCTGAGCTGCTGCCCAGCACTGCCACTCAGCTACCTCTCTGTCTCATAGACAACTGCAACCAGCATCCAGCCATGGCATTCAGTTCTTAACATGGTTCCTAAGGGTGTGGGGTTGCTGCCTGGGACCATTTCCCTGCACTAAGAGTGCTTGCTTGTTTAGAACTGACCTCTACTAGTCATAGCCCAAAGGGAGATCAGACATTAACTTAAAGGCCAATTGCTTTGGAAGGCTTGGGAAAAAAAGCAGCAGTAGCAGCAGGACAATGTCTTATTTATTTCTTGCTTTCCTAGCTCCCTCCCGCTCCTGTGCAGATAAGTTCATGCCTGGTCAACATTTGTGCAGCTCATAGCATAAGGTCTAACAAGGCCCAGAATTACATGAGTCTACACCATCTGAGCATCTAACTTTGGCCTCTAAGGCTCATTGGCTGCTGTAGATGGATAAGGCCACAACACAGACTTGCAGAGGAACCCTCTGTACACAGCTCTGCAAATCTTGCACTACGGAGCTTTCCTGTTTAATTTTTTCTTTCCACTTGGCAGTTTATCCCATTGAGGAGCAAACACCTGCAATGACTTAGGCACTCAGAAACCAAGAAAACATCATATTTTTCTGACAGGCTAATCTCTTCTGCTTGTTCTTAAGACTGTCACCAGTACAAACTTCTGTTTTCTATATTAGTCTCATAACTGTGACCTTTTCTGTAAGTTTTCCTTACCATTATTTGCATATTTTAATGGTGGGATTTTCAAAGATGTCTTGATGACTTAGGAGCTTAAGCCCACAAAGGCATTTTTTTCAAAAATCCCAACCTCTGCTGTTACTGCTCACCTTCTGGTGTTATTGCTGTACTAAAAGCATCCTGTATCTCCAGAACCTGAGTTTAAATGATTTTAACATCTGCATTTGAGAAATATGATAACACCTCAGATCTAACTCTGAGTTTCCCCCAGCTTTAGGTGTGTGTGGACTGCAAATCTGGATTCAGTCTATCATAAAAACAGTACTAGGTTGCAAAGCTCAAATCCATATTCAGATTCAAATTTTGGGAGTGTTTTGACTCTTAGTTGAGGCTGCTTCCCCTTGAATGTGGAATGTTTTGTGTGAAATAATAGGTTGTACACAGAGTATAGTCTAACCATCCCCTACTACATGCTACATATATTACACAGTTAACTGATCAATCTTGTAATAAATTTAGACCAGCTACATGTGCAAAGACTGGTCACAAATGCAAAGTAATTATCATACCATTAACTGGTTAACTGCACAATAAATCTGGACCAACTATACATGCAAAATAATTATCACACCATAAAAATGACTATTCAGCTATAAAAAGAGTCAACTGGCTACAGAATTAGTGCTTGAAAATGTGTAACAACTCTACAGCTGGTTTCTATCCAGCTTTAACTTGGACATGTAACAGAGCCCATAGAGTATTCAGTCCCTCTTTGTAGAGTGAAAGCACATTAGTACACATTTCATTTGTAACAGTAAGAAATGAAAAGTTAGCAGATTAGTATATTAAGTCTCTATTAAAATGGCAACATACTACAGCTGGGATTTTTCATTAGTGTCAGACATTTAAGAAAAAATGAAACTATAAAAGGCATTGACCTCTCTCCTAGAAAATTCCTTAAAATATACACAAGACACAATAATGCACATGAACACATTGAAAGGGATACTGAAAGAAGGCTACATTTACAGAGCCCCCACACAAGCCTTATGATTCCCACTGACTTGATCTGGAGTTGTATGGCTTAAATTCCACTTAGCCCCTTGAAAAGGATCTGCTAGGAATTAACTGAAACTGTTCAGAGAATGTAAAAAGTCTATAGGTGTTTGTCAAAAATCAGTACTGCTGTAGGCACAAATGCATTAGACAATGGCAGTTAAAATGATCCAGTAACAACCTCTCAAGCAAGAAAGCTACCCAAGTGTATTTACTTACCAAGTTTCAGATCAGTGAGATCTGCACTTTTCCTCTCCTGAATGGACCCCTCTGGATTTATTTGCAAGATTTTGTTGAGAGTGGATATCCAGTCATCCATATCCTGCTCATTTTCAGCTGCTAGCACAAAGTATGTGAGGTCATTCATTTTCAGTTCAAAGGCATGCTTCCTAAGCCTGTTATTCTGTTGTAACAAAAGAAGAGGAAGAAAATGAAGACTGCGAATAATAAAAAGTCAGAGTTGTGAGGAAGATGGGGCTTATTCATGTGACAAACTATTTTAAAAATTAAAACTCAAATACACTTAGTGACTTTAAATAAAACAAAACCAAAATTCTGAGATATTAACATTTACAAGAGCTTTACTTGACTTTCCAGATGATTGAAGTCTTGTGTTGGTTATATGACAGCATCACTGGAAAGTTTCTTAGATAACTGAGACCACACTTCCCTAGAATATTTCGCTACAGAAGTGTTAAGTATTGATAGTGTTTTAGTTCTGTAGGAAGGGACCACCTCTAACATGGATGCCTTATTACACCCAATCAATCCCAAAGCAATCTGGAAAGACTACCAACCTGGGACCAATGACTATTAAATGTAGTTTCTGTGATGCCGATATTTGCCTTTGGGAACTCAACTAGGTTTACCAAATACCTTCTACACAGACTATTAGTCAAGTATCACACAGTAAGAGCTTTTACTCAGTACCTGCTGTGGTTGGGTTTGTATTGGTTTCATACAGGCTAAAAGCCTTAACACTTATGACCTAAGCACTTTACTACTTTAAGCATGTATGGTTGCTACTGATCGACTATGTGAAGTTGCTGACTTTATCCAACGCTAGCAATTCTGTTTGTGCCCTAACTCATCAGCTATATTCCACGGACACTCAAGTGAAAGCACTAGGGATATGATCTTTTCATCATTTTTGACGGAAACCACTTTTACTGCACCAATACTCTCATTATACCCTGAACCCCATGACAAGCAACATAAAAAAGCAACTCCAAGATTTAAAAATAACCTTTTAATTTTGTTGGAGGGAAATTATGCTGAAGAACATAATTAATACTTTCTTCCCTGGATCACTGCTCCATTGCTGTCATTCAGTCTATTGGAAAAAAGGAAGTAAGGTTTCCTTAGTTCTTCCTCTCTCACATTGAATCTGTTCCTTTCCCTTTCCTTTCAAAAGTTCTTTTCACTTCATCAGTTTTCAGTCCGCATTCAGCAAAACTAAGTTGTTGAATGTAAAGGAAGGTAATAACCCACCTGCCTCCTAAGGTGTATAGTTTTGTCTACAGAATTAATCTATTATATATCATCCACCTCTGTGCGACCACTTGGGAATATACGTTTCAGGACAATGTTTACAGAAATACTAAGTTCTATTCAAAGATCTGTTGAAGTTGCACCTCATCATCATTTAACACAATAATTATCACAGAAAAGAACCAGAGGTAATATCTAGGAAAGTGATACAGATTTTATCCAGGCAAAAGTATTGCAAAAAAAATTAAACTAAATTAAATGTGAATGATTATTTTCTTAGGCTGTGATCGAAGAAGACTGAGCTCTGCCAGCTGTCTCCACTCTATTCCTTATAAGCAGTTTCTTTATGGTAATGTTTAAAACTCAAGGACTTGTCTTCAGACAGGCTTTTATGGAAAAAGCACGTGGTTATTCTATTCTATCTAATTTATATTTCTCTCCTTCTAAATCCATGTCTAAAATGCAAGGAAATCTACATTTTTAAAGATTAAAATATCACAGATAAGTCCCAAATGTAGAACTTTTATTTATATGGGAAAAATTATTTTTCATGGTTATGTTTGACATTCCAACAAGGAATATACATGAGGAGTTACTATCTCTCCTGTTGTTCTCTGCAGCAGTGGGGTTTTCCAGTTGTCACACTGAGGACATTGTGACAATTGTACAACTAAGGCCTGAACTATTTATCAAGTCAAATAATACAATTATCCTATTCCGCTTCACTATTATGTCTTACAGTTAAATGCTACATATGTAACAATAAGAACTGGACAGTCTTTGAACTAAGAGAGGACTATGGAAGGATATGCCTAGACAATCTGATTCCTTGGAAAAAAAAAAATCACACATATATTTTCTGCCCATTTTATCTGTAGAATTCTACATGACTTGGACAATATGAGACTCAGTTGGAAAAGAAATTAACCAGGAAATCATTTCACAAGATTGGAAAGAATGATCATTGGGAACACAACAAATTCCCCCTCATGAAAAGAAAAGAGTGGAAAACTTTGATGACATAGTTTAACCTACTGTATTGCTAAAATGATTTTGGGAGGACAAAAGTGAATGGAAAGGTTAAGGGTGTTTTGTAGAAGATAAAATATGAGATAAACTATCACATACATATCTTCCTTAAATAAAGAAGAGAAATCCATCCTCAATATACTAACAGCCAGATTTGGTATTGGTCTGTAGCATCATAATTTACCTGCAGATCATTAATTCATCAGTCCCAATTATGAGACTCAATGGCTCTTCAGCTACTGAAACAGCACGGTGAAACTGAATTAAGTTACAAGATTTTATAATACAACATGATTCTCTCCTTACATTGACCAAATTAGTAAGGCTTTGTATGATATTCTTATGACATCAGTTTTCAGTCTGTTAGCGCACTCTCTTAAACTTGAAAGAAGTCTTGTGCTGGGATACCTGTTAACTCCTGGTCTTAAGACATTTACAAGCACTGATTATAACTGTCACATTTCAATAATTTATTGCCAACATTCCAGAAATCTGTCATTAACTAAAATTAAGTCACAGCTGACCTTTAAGGGATACTGAAGAACTTATCAGATTTCAGCTATTCTTTATTGAACTAACTGATCATTAATTTTTACCTGTCCTCAATTAACAGTCTTAATTAAACCAAGAATTGTGTCATCTAGTTCTATGGATCTATATATTAGTGCTATGCCCTGATGCATAGAACTATAAGCCCTCACTCAACAGTATTTTAGGAGAAGCTCTCAAGAAAACCAGGTATTGAATCCACAGCCCAAAGTTCTTCTTTGTATGAGGTCAAGAGGGAAGAAGGTATGGTCAAGTAACATAGCACTGTTGAAAATGAAAGATGCCTGATAGCCTGAATTCCCTTGTTGAGAAACAGATTTATACTTATATCTAACTATAATTTGTTTTCACTGAAGAATTCTGATGTTTCAAAACTGGAACTTCCCGTGGAAAAGCTTTAGTTTATTGAGATTGTCCATTTCAAAAGAAAAAATGGATCAAGTTTTAAAAATATCAGCCTTAATTTTAGGATTTTCTAAATTGATTTTTAAAATAAAAATTAAACATTTTGAATTATGCAACTTAAACAGTTCAATAACCCCCAGAAGATTTTCTCCCCAGATTTCTTTCTGCAAGAATTTTGTCTCATCCTGATTCAGGATGAGACTATCTTCCAAGCTTTTGAAAGTGCTACTGGGCTGAGAAAATCACTTTTCATCTGGCTCTTCCACAGAAATATTCTTTGTACATTAAATACCCTGGTAACGAGTTTGAAATATGATCTAGAAGGAAGAAACCACCTTGAAATTTCTCTTATGAAAGGAGAACAAAAGACATCAAAACAAATTATTTTGTTGTCTGCAGTATGCACTTCCTTTTATGGACTCTGCCAAGAAGTTTAAATTAGATACTATAATGCTACCAGACTTTATCTAAAAGAGAAGTAGAACTCACAGGCTGAATCTTAGACAAATTAGGAAGGAAAACTTCAATATCCCCCTTTCCATATGCATTTTTGAGTTTTGGCAGGCAGATGAGATCTACTGCCAAGTCTTTGTTTCAAATCTTCAGCCAAGTACTTTTTCTCTGCAACCAGCTGAGAAAAAATACCTCCTTCTCCATTTGCTTCTTTATTACCAGTTCCATATGGAACTTTAGCTTAGCTTTAAAATGTAATTATCACTGACACTTAATTTAAAGTGTAGTGTTATATTCTATAGGAAGAAATCTCAGAAATAATAGAAATAACAAGCTAAAGAAGCTTAGTCCTGATCCTGCCTGTAGAATCATTCTTCTAAAATCGTAAGTATTTAGTCCAGGGGTGACACATCTTCCACTGTATTCTTCCCTTCAGTATGTGGATCATACCAGCATAGAATCTCATTCTCTGTTTACATGCCCAGAGTAAACTTAGTGACTTAACTGCAGTCAACTGCATTACAAATTGTATGACACTGCTGAAAATAAAAGGACATTCAGGGCTTTAGTTTCCTAAACCTTCTTGGGTGTCTTTAAAATTACAACTGCATATTTTTTGGCTATCCAGGGCCCAGTTCTCCTGACTTCTGGCAACTTTACACAAAACTTTGTCTTTTTCTTCTCTCCGTCTCTGAGTTTCATCCCACTTTAGAAGCGGTGGTTTTGCTGGTGATGATGTACTGCCACTAGCCCGAGTAGAACACCTTGCTTTCATTGGCGCACTCATTTCCTGCTTGAATGTCTGAGCCACAGCACAGGGGGAGCCATTTCTTCAACTGGCCATCTCTGTCATCTGATATACCTCCTTGGTCAGGCTCAGCAGCCAAAGAAACTAGCTTCCAATGCTAGCAAAGGTGAAGTTAAATATTTACTAAAAAACCAAAAGCTCTGGACCACTGGCAGCAGGTAGTAAGAAATAAATGCAGAAACCCAGAGCCAGTGGCCAAAGGTTGGAGATTAAGGAAATCAGGTTCAAAAGTAGCAGTATCTTTAGCCATTCTTACGTTAGTCAAAAGATGCTAATCATCTTGTAAAAATTACTGATCTCAAGACTTCTGCTATTTTGGGCTAGATATGGAAAACATGTAGCTTCTGTGTTTATAATTGAACCATATCCAAAACCACAGTGGAAGTGCATATTTCAGGGTCTTGTTTTGAAGACCCCCCTCTATGCAACACTGGTCAGGCCACAGCTGGAGTACTGTGTCCAGTTCTGGGTGCTGCACTTCAGGAGGGAGTGGACAGCATTGAGAGGGTTCAAAGGAGGGCCACTCACATGATCTGGGGACAGCAGGGCAGACCCTATGAGGAGAGGCTATGGGACCTGAACCTGTTCAGCCTTCACAAGAAAAGGCTGAGAGGGGACCTGGTGGCCATCTATAAACTTACTAGGGGGGACCAGCGGGGATTGGGAGAGACCTTGTTCCCCCGAGTGCCTCCCAGAGTAACAAGGAATAATGTTTATAAGTTGACTGAGATTCAGGCTAGATATTAGGAGGCGCTACTTCACAGTCAGGGCAGCTAGGATTTGGAACCAACTTCCAAGGGAAGTGGTGCTGGCTCCTGCCTTGGGGGTCTTTAAGAGGAGGCTTGACCTCCTGGGGTCATTTGAGCTCAGTTTTCTCTCCTGCCCAGGGCAGGGGGTCGGACTAGAAGATCTACAAGGTCCCTTCCAACCCGACTTCTATGAATCTATGAAGTTCCAACTAAAGCTTGTCTTTCAGAAGAATACTTACTAATAGCAAACATGAACAAACAATCCCTTCTCAAGTTTTGTGAATATGGGAACACTTTTCATGTTCATGCTTCCAATGGGGCAGCACCAAGACACAAGCACAAATGAGGATGAAAATCATCAAATATCACCTAACAACAGGAACTGACAATAACTAACCAGCCATGAATACACTATTTCACTGCACTCATCTCCACAAGAAAACATTAATTAGACTCCTGTTATATTTTGATCACTGAGATAAAAAAACATCCTGTGGAAAGCACATTGGACCACTATTATTTAGCTAAAATACTCTTTATTTTAATCTGTTTAGAAATAACAACAGGGGAAAGGCCTTACATTATTACAGTAAATTACAAGAAATGCCTGGTTGAGGTTTTACGTATGCCAAAATATCTATATTATTAATAGCATTTCATTTACCTTCAGCAATTATTTTTTCCATTATAAAATGTTTCATTCCTTTCCACAGATGTAATCTATTAGCTTAAATTGTCAAGATCACATAAGTAAGTTATTTTGCATGCACTGCACATAATACAAGCATGGGTTATATGACTGTGAGAATAGGTTTACAGAAACAGAGATATGCACTTCAGCAGATTTGTCTGAGCATTACTACATGTGTATGTTGTATGGTAACTGGTAAAGTTAACAGTTCTGTATTTTACATCTGACTGGTAACATAGCATGGATGGACTGGGTCTCTTTTGAGTGATGACACTCTTTTTATTCTGGAAGGCACCTAGATAGAAGTGTGGATAATTACTTATTTACCATGAATATTATCATTTTATGTAGGGCACTATTCTATCATCTCTCTGCTTCTTCAACTTTATTTTAAACTGAGAGAAGTAGTTAGCTGTGTTAATCTGAAGTTAGGCAGACTAACTGTTAAACTCTTCCAGGTTGGCTGATCTCATATGGCAAGCGTTAAACTAGCCTCGCCGGGGGAGGGGGCTGCAGGAAGACGAGGAGACACCACCTCAGCAAGACAGGTGACAAATGCAACGAGTGCCCAGGTAAGAAACAGGGGTCCAAACAGTCTCCCAAATCAGGGGGGTGGCACACGCAGCTAGACAAGGCCTTAAATGCCTATATACCAATGCTCGTAGCATGGGGAACACACAGGAGGAACTCACCCTCAGAATAGCCAGTTCAGACCCAGACATTATAGGGCTTACAAAAACTTGGTGGGATTCATCCCATGACTGGGCAGTTAGCATTAGGGGCTATAGGCTTTACAGGCGGGATAGAGAAGGAAGGAAAGGTGGGGGTGTGGCGCTCTATGTCAAGGAGCAATACACATCCTCTGCCAGCAGAATGGGGTCAGAGGAGGGG